TATATATATATATATATATATATATTTAACTGCCCAAGGGCTAATTTTATTGACATTGAAAAGATACATAGATGTTGTATGAGAGGACTAAAACAAAAAGGTGTCATACCCATACGATACATCAAATATTAACATCCTAAAAGGATGAAACATAAAAAAAAAACTTGCAGGAAATAAGCTGCTAGGCACGAGCCAGTTTGGCCTTGCCTCTGCCTCTGGGTCTAGGAGCAGAGACAGCTAACAAATTGTTGAATGTAATTCCATTACCCGAAGTTACTATAATATCATCCATTAAGTTTCCAAGCTGGGGTGTGCCTCCATTCTTCTTCTTCTTTCTAGATGTGCATACCTGTCATTCCTCATCCGAGGACTAGCTCATCTGATCGTTGTGGTCAACAGATTGTTGGGCACGTAGGAGAGAATGAGCCCCCAGCTCCTGACTAGCAGTAACAAAATTCTGATTCTGAAAACATGGTATGCATGTTTCTTCAACACCTGATGCATCCTGGGATTGTGGAGCTTCAATACTATCCTGGTTATCGGGCCCAACTAAACCATCTGCCAATATATCAGTCGGAAGAACAGAGACAGTATTGTCTCTGGTAGTGGGAGGGAGAGGTGGCATCGTGTCAATCGATGTTTCAGTAGTCTGTGGAATGCACTCAGGAGCGGAGAAGGGACAGATTTGAAGTGGGGCAAATCCAGAAGCGTTTTTACTTGAAGGTTTTAAATTCGGATGCAACTGATAACATTGAAAAGAATAATGTCCAAACATACGGTAGTGGGTACAATAAAGTGGTATCTGTTCAAGTTCTGCTTGTTGCCAAAATCCCTGATGTTGTGTGCCAATCCATATTTCTCCCGGAAAAGGTAAAGTAATATCCTTTTCTATCAAAATTTTGGCTTCTGAAGGCCAAGTCAGATTCACTGTAGGCGTGTCAGCTTTGAGGGGTTTACTGTGTACCATCGCTAAAGCGAAGAGAAGCTCTTGATAAAAAAGGTGGATCTTCAAACCTAGAAAGCGCAGTCAAACAGGAATGGTAGGAGGTTCAGTATGAGGTATATATATATATATATATATATATATATATATATGATATGAATGCAAATTAAATTTGAATATAGAGTATTTGAAATGTAGTGTTTTTGAATTGCTTTAGGGCTATTTAGTTATTTATAAAAAATATAGAAGATAAAATTTTTGTTGTGTTTAGTTTGAATTAAAATGAATTCATTGTAAAGCTTCATAGAGGAGGTGGTGGATATATATTGGTTGTTGTCGGTAGTGGTCGATAATGGTAGGTAGTGACTTTTGGTGGCCAGTGATATCAACAATGATGGGTAGTGATCGGTGTAGTGTTGACGACATCATGACAGGCAATAGGGGGGTGCCTATGTGTGGCGACAACGATCGTAGCTTATGGTGTAATTGAGAACTAAGCAAAATCAATCAATTTTGGAATATTTTTGCAAATGATTTATGGGGCGAATTCATAATTCATTAACATTTTATTATATATTTCCTTGCGTCAAATCAAACAGTAATATTTTCAAAACTATTGCATTTGGCATACTTTATATCTTTTTTTACTTCAATCCAAATGACCCGTAAAGGACTTTTGAGCTCTATATTCTCAAAAAACACATTAATTTATGCATGAGGAATATTTACTCTAAAGCTTAAATGGATAGGAAGTGTTATCTTTCCTCCATGCATTCCAATCCATAAATTATTCTTGGATCTTGCAAGTTGTTTTTTGCTTGTTCATATTCGCGTAGAATCCATAATTAATCAACTATAATTTTTTTGTATATTCTATGCTAGCCAAAATTGGTAGGAAATTACAATGTAATGAATTGCTTTCAAAGAACACTAACAATGTGTAGCTTAGGATCATTTATTTCGAATCATGGTTTAATCTTTTCAATAGGAGACACCAGTTTGTTTCTCTTTAGGTTTCTTGTACTAGATATGAAAAAAAAAACAAAATAATAATCTCAATAATGTTTTAACTGCTACATTTACTAGCACAGACATGAAATATTGGTTGAAAAATTTAATAGTCATGATTGATTGATAGGCTAAACATAAGTGCGTCATACAACCATTCAAATAAAAATAAGCAAACTAACATCCAAGTCCATTAGATATTTGAAAGCCCTAAGGCCCATGTCCTCTGAACTATAAAGATTAAAAGATTATTAAATACCTTTAAAATTTAGATTTTGTAAAAGGCTTTAACGATCCATTGAGAGGCATCGATAAATAGTTTAGACTGATGACACTTTTAATGAAAGAGAAAAACCTAGAGACATTGATGATTGTGTTTATAACCAAGATGAGAGTCACAACTTTATGGGCAGGCAAAGATGAAGATGTAGTTGATGAGGCGGATTAACATAGTGAGCAAGTTAGTGTGAGAGAAATGTCTATCAGGTAAGACACTGGGGCGAGCAATTGTTAGTTAACATGTGAGAGCAACGATCTAGTAAATTTATGTGGAGGGAGCTAGCTAGCTGGAGTAATGCGAAAATAAGGTGATAAGAAAACCATGTGCGATTGAACAACTTTTTGAATCAGCTCAATTATTTTAATGTTGCATATTTCAAATATAACTTCAACTCAGTTGCCTAATACAATTAGAGAAAAAACATTTTTTATATAGTTAGATCATTGCTAAAATTTAATAATAATTTAATTTATGTTCACCTATATATTATTATTGGGCGATTGCTCTACTTACGAAATGTAAAAAACCACAATCTAGACTATACAGTCAATGCTGACTTCAAATATATATATATATATATATATATATCTTTATCATTTGTCTTTACCCATTCTTATGTTGACTTGATGCATTGGAATGCCAATATATGCATGCATGTGTATACACGTAGATTTGTATTATTTTTGTGTCCATATTCTGCTATGAACAACTAATTCGTTAAATATTTTGATAGAATCTCTCATGCTTTAGCTCCTTTAATAGCATTCATTTTCTTTGCACCTAATTCACTGAGGCCATTTTCTTAAAGTTGCTACTTTTTTATTTGCTTATGGCATGCTAATAATTCTGCGTTGAGCTTCTTACGTGAATTCCCAGTGTTTCTAAGATTGTTATTTTCTGCTTAATTTTCTTATGTTTCATGCAGTCTTATATGCCTCGGAGAAAAGTTTCTAAGATTGTTATTTTCTGCTTAATTTTGTTATGTTTCATGCAGTCTTATATGCCTCGGAGAAAAACGGAGGAGGCTAATTTCAGTTATGTTGAGTGTTTGCTATACACTTTTCATCACTTAGCTTATAAGGTTTCTCATATGTACCTTCATTTTAATTTACATCTTAAATGCAGTGTTATTTTATTTTACATAGCCTTCCTGAATATACAATGCAGACACCAAATTCTACTAATAGCCTCTGTGGTTACAAAATTGTAACTGGGCAACCATCAGATAGGCTTGGGGAGGATTTTTCGGATATTTATAAAGACTTCACGGAGAGGTAGCAATTTTTTTACTTTAATTTAGTAATTTTTTCATGTGTTTAGTTAAAAGACTTTACAGAGAGCCATAACATCTATTTTAGCACCGACTCGAGTTATGTTGTTTTTGGATAGATGAAATTTGTTCTTTTATTGATTAGTACAATTGGTTGAATGCGTTTTTCTTATTTCTCGTGTTTATAGTTATCATTTTTTCATAAAAAACTTTGTATGTACTTCTATAATGGTCAAATATTTTAGCTACTCTAATTAATCTATAATTATGATGATGAATCTATTCATGATTGCTTTTAAGATTACAAAGAGACCATTAAAGCTCTAGGAGAACCTCCAATTTATTTGTTAATGAAATTTTTGCATTTGTTTTTGCTTAGTTAATTACATGAAATTGAATTAAATCATAATATAAATTGATACAACTTAATTTTCTCATAAGAGAAATCAAATACAATGGTAAAAAAAAGCAGTTGTATACAAGTTACATACTAACAATTTGCTATTGGTACTTCATACTTGATATTGGATTTAGATTTGTTCACGGCACTATTAGAATCCTAGTAGCAAAACTTGTGAAGTTTCACGGATTAAGAAATAGGGGGAAGATTGAACAAGGATGAATAGAGATAGATAGAGAGAGAGAGGAGGCTTTGAAGATTTTGACTACTTATTCCCAAAATACCCAAAAGAGCGAATCATCTTATATAGTCCTTCAACCCTTTATTTAAGTAATTCGAATGCTTGGGAATGCATCACTTGGACTTGTAGAGTGATAAAAAATGTATATATGATTAGGTTATTATGAATACATAAATGATGTGATCCAAATTTTAATAAATTCATCCTTATAACTTTCTATAACTGGCTATGAGGAATTCATGATTGGATAGATGAAGTTGTGGTCATTTAGAAGGATTGCTGAATTATTGAAAAATGTGATGGCTTGAGTTTGACAGCAGTGTCTTCTATTTACTAAGCAAGTGCCTTATTAGATGTTGTGGGTGGCTTTTTGAGTAAGTGAGTGATGTTGGCGAGTTCCTTCAATTTTGGAGAGTTCAATATACATACCCCTGTTATGGAAAAACGCTCCTTTTTGTTTAAGGAGTGTGCCTCAAAGCCTGGATGATTAAAGTTTATTAATTTATTTTGGTTCTTCGTGTGCGCATCTTTATCCTTGAACTCCTTAGAGTATTTATTTGGTTCCTAAGTTCTCTTTTACCTTTTGGAGAGTTACTTGCAAAAACGTACAAGAGAATTAAGTTAGCTATTTATATAAATTAATAATAAAGATGAAAATGAGGGTTTCAGTTTTTAGGAACCGTCACATTTATCTCTTGTTCTTTTTGGAGATTAGTTACAAAAAAGTATGTAAGAATTTAGTTATTTATATAATTTAAAAATCAAAGATTAAAATGATAGAGTTTTTGACCCATTCAATTTTTAGGAACCGTCACATTTATCACTTTGATAATGGCTTTGATTTGAATTCTTTGCATATGACTTGATGCTCCATTTTTTTAGGCTCGATCCCATTTCTTGTTTGTTCTATATCACAATAGCAACCGAATCCCCTTGCCTCCAAATGGCCAAGTTGCCTCTAATGAAAGCTACTGATGTTCCTAACCATGAATTGCACAAAAAAAACATTATTTAGAGATGCGGGGAAAAATAGTAGTGGGAGGAAGTGCAGAACTCCAGTTAGCCTGTGATTAAGGTGGAAATTGGTGAAGAGAATGGAAGAACAGTTTCTAGGGTGGCAGAAGTTATTAACTAAGAAAGTAATTATGGGTCCTTCATTTGGTACGGTTGTAGTGGGTTCAAACATTGAGCAAAAAGCTTAAGCGGTGGCTCCAACCTAGGTACTCTTGTCTCATAACTTTTTTGTTTGGAGGAATTCTCGACTATTTTATGTCTCATCATTTATGAAAAGCTTTTCTATCTAACTGGGAGGTTTTTGCGTTGCTTTGGATTTTCTGAGATCGGGAGCCACACATGTACAAGTGGTTGCTAAAACATAGAATGAACAATTCTTTCTATCTGAGAGGGTTAACCTAGAGAGTTTGATGCTTAACATTCCTAATAAACCTGCTATCCATTTGACTGAGTGAGATTTTATGCTATCGTCCATCAAAATCAGTGTTATCAGAGGCTTTTCGTCTGATTCTTTCCTTGGGTAATAAGGGGCTTGCAATTGCAACTTATTGAGGTTTTTATTGACATCTTTCTAAGTGGAGTTTTTTGTTTTTATTTTCGCTGAATACCGTATGTACAACTTTCATGTGGAGGCAAGGGCATCATCAGGATGATCAGGTTTCTAATCTCACCAGTGAGGGTGCCTTTATCATCGGAGTGGTCCATTGAGGACGAGCTTCTTGTAAGATTTTCCTTGCATGAGCATGATCCTGAGACTCAAGTTTCTACTTCTGCTGTGGTCCATGCTCTTGTGCCTTAGGTGAGCCCTAACTTGGCACTTCCAATTATTCACCATCCATTGCCTTTAACAATCCTTGTTTCAACTTCTCCAATAATTCAAGTTGGGGGATTATTTAGCAGACTTTTCCCTGTTGAGATATTAGTTGGCCTTGATCTAGAATCAAGTGCAAACCTTTGATGATTGACTCATCTGGAGGAAAAGAGAAAGCTCTCTCTTCGATGCAAAAGTTGATTCTACCATTAATTTTGTTGAGGTTGCTAGGTCTATTACTCCAGAGGTCCAGGCTTTGAAGGTTGAAATTGCGGCTTTGGTAACAAATTTCTAGAGTTATTTAATGTTGAATTAGTTTCAAGCAGGCAAGTTTTCATTCTACTGCAGCTTGTGAGGTGTGTTGTAAATTCTTTTGATTTATTGTTGAAACCTCTTTATGAATTCTTTTGAATAACGAGTGAATGAGTCCCCTTGGTTGTTGACCTCATTTTTAGTGAGGTGTTAGTCTCCTACTCCCAGAACCCAAAATCTAGCCTTAGGAGTTCCTTGTTGACCATCTTAGCAGACTAGTAATGGAGCCCACCTCCCGTAGAACTTCAAGCCACTTCTTGACTCATTTTTGTGAAGAAACTGGCATGAGTAGTCTTAATCACTCGACTCTTAGTTGCAAGGGCTAAAGACTAACATGTAGAGGGCCCAAAATTGAGTTCCCATAGGATCAGATGCCTTAGGTAAACCCTTCGTGACTCGAGCACTCGCAGATACTACAATTTGACACATTTTTGGCCCGACCGTCAGCGAACTCGCCCATATGACTCCAAATGATGAAATGGATCACACAGATGCGTCCGGGACGTCGACTTTAGCTAGGGAGGACACCCATATTGCAAGGGTTACGCGCGCGCACATATTGCACGTAAATCGATGCATTTTTTTTAGAGGGTGTGGTTTTAGCGGGCGTGGACCCGGGCTTAACCCAGAATCATTTCGAGTTTGACTTGGGTTGGATATGGGCTAAGCCCGGGCTAATTACTTCAGCCCACAGAATTCAAATTTCAAATTTCAAATTTATCATTTAATCTTCCATTAAGCTTTTCCATTTAAGCTGGCTGCCTGAAAGGAAACTATTAAATTCTCCATTCTCCGCCAATGCTGATAACGACTCCCTCGAAATTTCGCCTATAGCAATTTGTCTCCTCTACTTTGCGAAAAAAAAAAAGACAGAGAGACTTCTCGTTCGATCCCTCTCCGCTCTCAGACTCCAGACTCTCTCCCCCGCTCTCGATAAATTCGGCTCCCCCGCTAGCCTTCGTCATTTCTTTCTATGCGTCGAAGACCCCTCGCTCGACGTCTCTTCCTCTGCGCTGAAGAGCCACGCTCGCCTCTCTCCCTCGCAACAAATCCCGCATAGCCGCGCATAGCTGCTTCGATTCTCCCAACCGAGAGATCTCCTGTCTTCTTCCCATCGCTCCCCAACTCCCCCTTCCGGACTTGTCCCGCTCGACAGAGGCTCCCGGAGAGGCTCCCGCTCCACCTCACCCTCTACGATCCAAATTCGACTCCTTCCCCGCTCACCTCCTCTGTACCGAAACCCTCGCCTCACTCTCGCTCACCCTCGTCGGTTTCCTGCATGCGTGCGACGGAATCTTCCTTGCTCTCGACAAATTTTGCTCGCACAGGAAACCCCTCGTTTCTTCCTTGCACGACAGAAGCCTCCTCCGCTCTCCTGCTCCTCTGCGACTCGATCGCAGCTCCCGATAGAAGCTCCCGCTCGCTTCTCCTCTGTGCGACGGGACTCGTGCTCGACCGAACTCCCTCCTTTCTCAGCGCCGAAGCCCCGCTCACCTCTCGTCCACGTCAAAGTCGCTCGCCTCACTCGGCTGACCCTCCCTCGCCCGCATTGGAGGTACTGCTCATTTTATTTATACAATACATACCATCTAGGAGTTAGGAAGATTTGCATAAACATTCACTCAATTCATGTGCTTTTACGTGTCTATTGCCTCAAACTTTCACATGTATGCATAGCACTCAAATATTTTATGTTGCAACAAGATAATGCATTTACCTATCTTTTACAATACACATAAGCTTCAGTATTTGTATGTCTACTTGCTGAATTGAAAGTTTCGGAATGACATAGATGTTGTTTTAAGTCTTATAAACTTGTGTTCTTAGAAAAATAAAATGTTATTTTGTTTGTCCTGCATTTCTGCTGTTGGGAAGAGTTAAATATTGTCGTATTTGAGTCATATTGTTGCTGCTTGGAAGCACTAAATAACACTGTTTTGGCTCTTCGATTTCATTATTTTGGAGTTTCTACAAGTATTGTTTGGGTCCATTTAAAAAAAAGCTGTTCGAGGCAATTTAAGTGATGTTTGAGGGTTATTTTGGGACGAGTTCAGCTGGTTTCGCTGCAGTTTTCAAGAGCTTTAAATGTATCCTTTTTTTTAGGGAAACTTTGTCACTGTTTTGGGCTAGTTTTTCTAGCTAATTTTGTAACATTTAAAATTAATGTTTTGGGCTTACATGAGAGCTATTTGAGAATTTTAAAATTATTGTTTGGAGCATTTTAAA